GGTGTTGGTTGGGGATGTTGGTTGAGGTGTTGGTTGGGGATGTTGGTGTTGGTTGGGTCATCGGTCGGGGGTGTCGGTCGGCTCGTGGGTGACGCCGGTGCCACCCCCGCCCGCAGTGACGGCGAGGAGAAGGCCTCGGGCAGCTCGGGGCGCTCTCTGGGCGCGGCGGGCGCGGCGCTGGGCAGCGACGACAGCCTGGCCGGCTACGGGGGCAGCGCCGACGTGCAGTTCAACGAGGACGGCTCCTTCATCGGGCAGTACAGCGGCACCCGCGGCACCGCCGCCGGCAGCTCCGGCCCCGCCAGCCCCTCCAACGCCGCCCCCCTCGACTGAGCGGGACCCCCGGGGCGGGTGGGGGGACCCCCGGGGTCGGGGGGGGGGGGCCCATGGCAATGGGGACCCCTCACGGCAATGGGGACCCCCCATGGCAATGGGGACCCCCATTGACTGAGCGGGACCCCCCTTGACTGAGTGGGACCCCCCGGGCGGGCGGGGGGCCCCCGGGGTCGGAGGGAGCCCCCACGGCAATGGGGACCCCCCTCAACTGAGCAGGACCCCTGGGGTCAGGGGGAACCCCCATGGCAATGGGGACCCCCCTCGACTGAGTGGGACCCCCGGGGTGGGTGAGGGGACCCCCGGAGTTGGGGGGAGCCCCCATGGCAATGGGGACCCCCCTCAACTGAGCAGGACCCCTGGGGTTGGGGGGAGCCCCCGTGGCAATGGGGACCCCCCTTGACTGAGTGGGACCCTCGGAATGGGTGGGGGGACCCCCAGGGTTGGGGGGAGCCCCCATGGCAATGGGGACCCCCCTCGACTGAGTGGGACCCCCGGGGTGGGGGACCCCCAAGGTTGAGGGGAGTCCCCCTGGCAGTGGGGACCCCCCTCGACTGAGTGGGACCCCCAGAATGGGTGGGGGGACCCTGAAGGTTGAGGGGAGCCCCCATGGCAGTGGGGACCCCCCTCGACTGAGTGGGACCCCTGGAGTGGGTGGGGGGACCCTCGGGGTCGGGGGGAGCCCCCACGGCAGTGGGGACCCCCCTTAAGTGAACGGGGCCCCCCGGGGGCGGGGGGGACCCGGGGGCTCTGGGGTGCCCTGGGGAAGGGGGGGGCTGCCCAGACGGCACCAGGGGAGCCCCCCATGGCAGTGGGGACCCCCCAGGGATGTGATGGGACCCCCAGAGGGACCCCTGGGGGTGGGGGACACTGTGGGAAAGGGGGGGCACCACTGGGGGAGCCCCCCCATGGCAGTGGGGACCCTCCAGGGATGTGATGGGACCTTCAGGGCACTGGGGACCCCCCCAGTACTGGGAGGGACCCCCCCCATGTCACACTGGGACCCCCACGGCACTGGGAACCCCCCA